AGTACAAAGCTACACAAAGGGCTTTCTGCGCTGTGCCCACCAAAGGTATTGAAATCCGTTATAAGTTGGTAAACTAACTGCTGAACGACTGAAGGGCTAAAGAAACAGGTAATCTCAAAGAATTTAAACAAATTGGCACAGAGGCTTTGTGCTTAATTACAAACATACAAACAAACTTCCCTCTCGTCTATCACTTCTAAATTAGGGACGTCTAACAACAGGTAGTCCAGTTTGTAGCTTTGTATGCTTATAGTCCCACACAAAACTACTTATAGTTCCACACAAAACTACTTATAGTTCCACACAAACTACTTATAGTTCCACACAAACCTACTTATAGTCCCACAGAAAACTACTTATAGTCCCACAGAAACTACTTATAGTTCCACAGAAAACTACTTATAGTCCCACAGAAAACTACTTATAGTCCCACACAAACCTACTTATAGTCCCACAGAAAACTACTTATAGTTCCACACAAAACTACTTATAGTTCCACACAAAACTACTTATAGTTCCACACAAAACTACTTATAGTCCCACACAAAACTACTTATAGTTCCACATAAAACTACTTATAGTCCCACACAAAACTACTTATAGTTCCCACACAAAACTACTTATAGTTCCACACAAAACTACTTATAGTCCCACACAAAACTACTTATACTTCCACACAAAACTACTTATACTCCCACACAAAACTACTTATACTTCCACACAAAACTACTTATAGTCCCACACAAACCTACTTATAGTCCCACACATACTGTGAAGTCTAGTCTTAATTTTGAGTTATTGATGTCATTTTGTAATCAGATTGATAACTGCATTGAATAATCTTGAATCAAGATTGTTCCTTACTGTCCCCTGGTGGCCCAACGTTAAAATTCGGAGCTCAATCCCCGCGGTGAACACAGTGCACGTACTCGAACGTGTAACTTTACACTGAAACAAAACAAGCAAAGAGATTTCCCTAATATTCTTATTAAAAGATAAATAAGCATTACATTTAGTACTTTAAAAAATAGCAACTAACACGTAGAAATGTTTAATTACATCATATTAGCAACTTATTTGTGACGCTGGTAAAAAAAATTATGAAACTGTACTTAAATATATTTTCAATTCTTTTGAAACCATAAGGTTTTAGAATTGCAGTGTTCAAACTTATAATAACACATTTCTTCCAGAACTACGAAGAAATATGGCCATAAATCCTTGGATTTATAAAGTGCAGACGACATTCTGATACTACTAATATAGGCTTAAGTAAACTTTTCAACGTCGAAAGAAGATAAATCCAATATTGTTAACACTCTACAGTATGAAATGAAACATCTGAAATCTAGAATTTTAAGTCTTTTCGGAGAAAACGCTTTTTTTATAGTGTTTCTAAGAATCATACTTTTTTTGCAATTTCGCTCCAAAAGCTTGAAGCTTGAACTGTGGTTTTCCCAGTTCCTTACCGCTGGAGTGACTGTTGCTTGATCTGTATTAGATTTCTGTTAAATTCACTGTTCTTTTTAGCGACGTTACCGGTACAAGATTCCTTTTATTTTGACCGAAACTGTACAAATTGTTTCACATTATTTATCATTATGGACCCCCCAGTGATTCAACGGTAAGTCTGAAGACTTATAACACTAAACATCGGGTTTCGATACCCTTGATAGGCACAGTACGGATAGCCAATTGTGTAGCTTTGCACTTAACAACAAACACGTCGTCACGGAAGATATAATAATTACTAAAGTGCCAATACATAACGTTTTCAACACGTTACACTGAAGTAAAATATCTTGCAATGAACCATTCAGTCTTGAATAACATGGACATAAAACGTAACTGTTTAAACTACCGTATTCCAAGGTGAAGCTTGACTTTTTTCCATAATAAAACACAAAACTATAAAAAAAATACCAAAACACAGACCCCCAGTAGCTCAACGGTAAGTTTGAAGGCTTAAACGCTAAAATTCGGGTTTCGATACCCGCTGTTAGTAGAGCACAGCTAGTCAGTCTATTGTGTGTATGTCTTTCTATTTAAAAACAAACAAACAAATACTAAAATACAAGATGATTTATGTACATTTTACTCGGTGTTAATGTTATTCTGTTAATGAGAATAATATTATTTTCGTTGTCCAGTCTTCACATATTTTAACAGGATGAACATATTTTAACTTTTATTCTATGCTTATAGGGTATCGTACCATAATTATATTCACTAAACAAACGGTTTTATTATATTCACGAAACAAACGGTTTTATTAACACTTTCGGTTAAAATATGTGTATTACTTTTATTATCTTTCGCTTACATTCATTACGAAGCTTTTGTTTCGCACTGCTAACTTAGTACACGGATCTCGGATTAACTTAAACCTCCTCGGCTGGCCCAAGCTCGTGAGATGTTATTGGAATTACAGCCGAAAACATCGCCCTTATTCACTGAGTTATTTTTATGCTGACTTACGTCTCGCGCAAGGATTGTCTGTAACTTTGAACTGATAGGACAGGGGGAAGCTAACCAACAGCGCTAGTTGTTGAATTATTCTGATCTGACCGAATAGAGGGATTTAACCGTCACTCTTAAAGTACTGATCGTGGTCTTGTGACAACGGAACGCGAATTATGAATTCTTGGATTCGTTGTGCGGGCAAACATTGTTTATTTATGTAAGTAGTTCGCTTTGATCAACAATTATGAATTGACATACTTGGCACTAGCGGATTCAGGGGGTGCGGTCCCCCTTTCGAAAATTCGAGATCCGCTATTGATACTTGGTTATGGCGGGAAGATTGTTTTCACACAGATATTGAGATGCCTTATTGTTTTCGAGGCAATATGTAGTTGTGTTTTTAAACGACTTTAGCCTAGCGGACATTTTGTGAGCCTTACTTTTTAACTAACGGATTCGACTTTATCAGGGGGGGGGGCTTGCGCAGCGTAGAGAATATCGAGTTGTTTTCGTTTTGTTTGTAGTTTGTAAAGTATTTTGTTTTATTGAGCGGAGAGTCAAAAGACCTCGAGAAACAGAAGATATCTTGTCACCAACTCGCGCGTGCATAAGCTCAGCGCGCGCCAGCAGATAGAGTGCCCTTTGACTGTTAAATGGGATAGGTGTGATAGCAAAGAGTTCTTCTTGCCGTGACTATCAGCAAACGTTTAAACACATTAGGCCAGAGATCAGGTTACTCAGCCCCGCTAAGAGGTCAAAGATTCCACAGAAACCCGACCATGACACGCCCGAGCCACTGCCAATTGGTCGACACTGCCGTCAGTCAGGCTTGCGTAGAAACTAAGTGATCCGTCACGGGAAAAGTAGACGTTGTTAGATCTCGAGAGCTGCTGGGCGCCACTCGTGACGGGAAACTTAAGCCTGGCTCATAGTCGCGCGACTCGTATTTCCAAGTTGAAGAGAAGCACGTGCGATAATGGTTTCAACTCTTGAAACATCGTACCTATTATAACACCATTCGTACTGGAAACACGTGACTCGCGTATCATTTTGTATTTTAGTTGTACGGTGGCAGTACAGATCACCGTCGATTGGAAAGAAGATTTGGAAATTAGGGACCCCCTGTCCGTCCGTATCGACAGAGCATTGCTAATGATATTTACTTTTACTGCTTGTCTATAGAGTAAAACCACAACAACCAAGTTAACTCAGCGAAATCATTTCTTTAGAAGGTAAGTCCTAACTTTAGTAGAGATTCAGTCTGAGTTATGTACTTTGTTAGATATGTCACATAACTGGAATCATGGCTGTATTTAGTAGAGATTCAGTCTGAGTTATGTACTTTGTTAGATATGTGACATAACTGGAATCATGGCTGTATTTAGTAGAGATTCAGTCTGAGTTATGTACTTTGTTAGATATGTGACATAACTGGAATCATGGCTGTATTTAGTAGAGATTCAGTCTGAGTTATGTACTTTGTT